GTCCTTATTGCGTGTTTTTATTATGACTGAGGTTGTTCTGTTCTGGCAATCTTTTTCATAGTAGATGTAAAACATTTTTCCAACGAAATTAGTTAAGATATAGGGAACAAGTAACGAAACCAACTAAAAAATTGTGATATTACCACCAGGGATCATTTAAGGACTATTTTATGCTAAACCATCTGTATATCCATGTCAGTCACAGACACACTGAAATAACCAAATGTAGAACAGAAATAATCAGAATTGATCTGACTTTTTGGCGGAGGAGGGCAGAAACACTCAATGCAAGTGAAACCGCTTCTTTCGGCAGTTTTGAGCTCAGTTTATTAGACACATACGGGATAAATATTCAGGCCTCAGACACACAGGAAGAGACAGAAAGGAGTCACACGCCGGCATCAACAGCTGTTTAAATCCAACACTGTCCATTCTCATTATTTTTCCACTCTTTTCTCACCGTAAGGGCTTATTTGATTTCATGATAACATCCCTGAGAAAGAAATGGGACGGCTGATGTGTCCTGATCGAACTCCTCCTTTAAACGTTTCGAAAAATCCACCGACATGAAACAAGTTCTCCATATCTTGCTCAGGTTTGGCATACGATATTCAAAGTTGTATTTTCTCAATCATCTTAAATTGTATTATCCCCCCAAAGTTCTTTTTTTTAGGTTTGTTGGCACAAATATAACCTTGAAACAAGATTCTAGTTGTTATCTGAGCCTTAAGGGTTTAATAAAGTTGTTATTACTTGACCAATGTTGGGGAACTGCCAAGGAAAGCAATTTATTTATATACAGTACTTAGGTTTTTCATTTGGGTAAAGCTGCTTTACCATAAAATATTTTTTTATTTTGGTATTGTTTGAAATGTGTGTACTTCATGTTCAAAATAAGATGAGCTGGTTGCACTGTGCTGCATAGCCACTAGATGGCTGTAGTTCCTTTCCCTTAAGAAAAAAAAAATCCCATATTGAAGTTTTGATAAAATGGTGGCCATATTCAATCGTTACAATAAAGCAAAGCTATCTGGTTTGATAGTATCGGTATGATGTTAAAGAAAGAGTGTCAATTTTGAGTTTCGTTCTAACGAATGCTGCTTTTGTTCCAGCTCACTGCCTCAGCCTCTGGAGATCCTAGAGCTGCCCTATTTGAGCCTGAGTCCAGCTGACCTCGCCTACCTGTCCTGCAGCCATCATGCCTCCACGCTGCAGCAGCTGGACTTGAGTGAGAACCGTCTGGACACCAACACCCTATCCTCCATCCGCCGCCTCCTCTCCCAGGCCTCCAGCAGCCTGCTGCACCTCTCTTTAAGTGGCTGTGGTCTGACTGATGGTCTGCTGGGGCTCTTGTTGCCCTCACTGGGCAGCTGCTGGGCTCTAAAGAGCCTGGCTTTGGCTCTCAACCCGCTTTCCATGGCGGGCCTCCTGGATCTGGTGCGAATGGCAGCTAGAATGCCCTCCTTACGACAGTTACTCTACCCTAACCCCCTTGAAGACTACCAGCCGGGTCTTCCGGACCTGCCCTCTAGTGCCCAGTTACTGGACTGGCCTCTGGATGAAGCACCAGACTTCAACATGACCAGCAGCCAGCTCAACCGGGTGCTGACAGACAGCGGACGCCACGACCTCTTTCTCACTTGTGACCTGCTCAATTACGATAAAGACTTGGTGGAGTAGAGCCGGGGCCAGAGGTGCTTTTCAGATCACGCGTTAACGCTCTTATAACCTGACAATCGCACTGCGTCGTGAGAAAGGCAGAATGATTTTTGGCCTTATGATCACCACGCTCGCGTCTTTTTTTAAAATTATTTTTCGTCTTTTTTGACATGAAAACAAACCAGTGCAACTTAAACCTCAATCAGTTTCCAAAACATGTCTGAACTGTGTTAAACAGGGTAAAATAAGCCACCAGATGAAGACCTGTTTTAGTGTTGCCAACATGAAATCAGTGTATTGAACGGTGACATGGGAGCAGGACGGTCTGGGAACGAGGTGCCATTTGTTATCAGTTGCTGCACTACTTAATTAACTTAACTTTGTGACTATGGCAGTGAAATTTTAGCAGACAAGTCAGTGCTGCTTTTCAGAGCTTAAGAACCAGGCTGCCAGGCTGGTTTGGATACAAACAACCAAAAGGCTCAGCTATCTCTGAATACCCCAACAGAAAAACGACACTTCTCTTTTAACATGAATGCTTCAGAATATTTAGTTTTAATATAGTTTTATATGAACTGCTTTACGTGTTTTACTCATGTCTCTGCTGTATTTCTTGAATGTTTGTTACGAAAATCAAAAGCAGGCTTCCTGCATTAATTCACCAGCATCACTGGCCTTTACGTGTACCACAGAAATGTTTTTACACACCAGAAATCCCAGAATAAATCA